CTCTCTCTCTCTCTCTCTCTCTCTCTCTCTCTCTCTCTCTCTCTCTCTCTCTCTCTCTCTCTCTCTCCATCTTACCTATATTTGCTTCTACATCACCCATTGTTTCTAGTATCTTAACTTGACATACAGAGATCTCAGCAACCCATTTGCAAATTTTGAATACTAATACAATGTATACAAAATATTCATTTTTATAAGAATCCCTGTTTGTAGTATTAAGGATCTCTCCTGATCCAATATTGGATTGAAACTTAAGAAACCATGTTTCAAATCCTTTTGCCCCCATTCCCAATGCAGAAGTATACTGCAACAATATTCAACGCAGTCTGTAGAATTCAAATAGTAGCATTTAGTCATCATTTGGAAAGAAATGATTATTAATATGCCCTTAGCTATCATCTTATACCACATCAATCAGATATGGTAAAGGAAAATTAGGGAAAGTCAATCTTAGGAAGATGGAATTTTCTATATGAATCAGGCTGTACCAGAAAAAAACCCCAAATGAAAGCACTGCATACACCCACATTTCTTAACGATTACTTGACGTAATCCTTTTAAATACACAGGAAGCAAATCTTTATCAAAGTCATCAGAAAAATCTGATGAACTCTTTCCCCCCCATTTCTTTTATTAAATCCAGTTGATTGAAGCTTCAACTTTCAAACATTTCAGATATTACTGAATGATTTCAATGAACAAAATTATAAACTACAAATAAAATACTGTCATTGAACTTCAATGTTAAAAACAAAGACAATAGAGAAACATTTGGCTGATTTCATAAAAATATTGGAGAAGAGAAAAAAGAACAAGGGAAGAATTGCTACGAATATACCCTAGATGAATGTATAATGACTGTTGCAGAATCCTGTTAACTAAGATGTTTTTAATATTAGTTTACCACAGAGGTATTAAATTCAGGAAATGAATGTAGGTCAAAAAATTCATTTTCTTTAAAAAAAGACTTTCATCACCCCTCCACCCTCTTTTGATCCTTTCTTTTAAAAGTTTCTTTCTCATTTTTAAGCTAAAGATAAAACTTTCTATATAGCTGTTTTTATCATTAAAGTATATGATCGGTTTTAAAAGTGAGTTGCATAAATAAACTTTAGGATACCTGGAAGGAGCTGGTAGCTAAAAATATTTCTTTTCTTGTGTTCTTGTGAAGTAATTCTGAATTATAATTATTTTTATAAGCTAGCTGTGAATGTAGAACAAATGCTCATCACTGATTTATTGAATTAAAAATGTACAGAATTAAAAAGTGAAAGATAAAAATTATAGTGATAAACATGCACATAATATGCATGCACCCACATGCATAAATACATAGCATTTCTTGGGAAATTCTTGGGAATTTCTTTTGCTTATAACTCACCAGTTTGAAAAGTTCATGCCCTGAATTTCAGAGATAAGCAAGAATTTGAATCAAATATAACTACATAGCATAGGTCAATTAAAATAATACTATGAGGCTCTGATATAGATTTAAATGACTTTTTCCTTTATAATAAGTCTCCATCTGAGTACCGTCTACATATGTTAAAACTTCAGAGGGCTGTGAATTCTGCAAGTTGAAGCCTAACATAATTGGAGAGGACCAGGTTAATTAAGGCTGATTAAACTACTTCCTGAAACTTAGAAAAGTCACCCATAGTCCAAATTGTGTGGTAAAGAAAGAGAATTAAGAAAATAAATCTTACATTGTAGATGTGTTCTACATGGCATTGCTCATCTGGAAACTGCAGCTGATTCAAAATGCAGCAGTGCAGATGGTAACAGGCCTTTGTTCTTATGCCCATGTATTATTACAGTGATATGAACTATGTTTGCCGCCAGTTGACTTCAGGGTGCAATTCAAAATGCTGGCTGTTTCTTATAAAGCTCTTCGGGGCATAGGTCTATGTTATTTGAGGAATTGCCTGTCTCCAATTGTTCCTGCCTGTGTGATACATTCAGACAGAATGGATGCACTTCACAACTCTCCATTAAATATCATCATCTTGTGGGATCAAGGAAATGTGATTTCTGTGTTGTTGATCCATCTCATTGGAGCTGCATCCCTCCAGAGATAGGATTGGTGCCCAGTCTTTTGGGATTCTGGAAGGAATTTAAGATTTGGCTCTGTGATCAGGCCTTGAGTTAGTGTGTCTGTGAAATCCATGTTGTTGTTGTTGTTGTTGTTTTTATTAGTATAAAAGTATATATTTTTAGTCTAGGCTGCCATGTTTATTTCATGCCTTTAACAGTTTTATAATTTTTGTTTGGATAAATTCTGGAGTTGGTATCCATAATAAATTTAATAAATAGCAATCATAATTGTTCAGTAATATCTTATTTGTGCAAAATACAGTCAATATAAAATGGTTTGATTTTTGTGTGTTACCAATTGCTGTTGCTGTTCATAAATTTTCTGTCTATAATTTCCAAGCACTGGTGCTGTATGCCATTTACACGTTTAGCATGAGGCACTTTAGCCTAGATACGGAAATCACTTCATTTTCTATTAGAAAATGCTCCAAGATAAGAATTTGCGACCATTAGTGGATTAAGAATATTGATGCAATACAGGGCGGGGCATAACCTTTTCCTAGGGGGTCACAGCAACACTTGTAATAACAACACAAATAATTCATACACCATTCGAAAGCCCATC